ATAATGGACGATAAGGGAGCAGAGCGGACCGTCCTGGGCCCTGAAAAGAAACTCTTCTTCAGCCCAAGCACCTTCGGTGAAGGAGAGAGCGGTGAGTCAGTCAGGTGACCCCATGGCGGAGACACCTCCAGAACTTCTGTCTGAGGTCTAGTCAAGAAGATGATGGATTTACTAATGAACAAAGCAGTTGAGGTGAACTGGTGGCTGTTTTATCATGAAGGTAACCAGTTGTTTCTTGTCAGCTTGACTAGATGAAATGGAAGAAACTGGTTGCCTAGCCAACCGATTATACCGACAGTTGATTCGTTTACTTGACTGACTTTAGTTGGTTCAACTGTGACATAGAAACCAAAATAACACAAAGGTACCAAGTAAAGGGTTGACCAGTCTAATCAGCAACTGACTTTTCTTGAACATTATCTTTAGAACTGCAGCTAAAGGATTGTTTAGCCGATAGAAACTGTGTTTGTTGCTAAATGTAGCAACCAGCCACTAGCAGCAAGTAAAAACTCTTCAGATTCAGACGTCAGGTTTCTCGAGGGTTGCTTGATTGGAACCCTGTGTGTTTTAGTTGTTCTCTGGGTTCGGTCAATCCTGACTAAGGATCTCCAGTTAATCCAGGTTCTGGAGATGTTGTTGAAACTGTTTGACCACGCTTGTATCTACCAGATGTCTTGGTGTACTTTGGGTTATTCTGGGACTCAATGGCTCCAATGACCTCAAAGCTCCAGCACCCTCACAGAAAATCCTTCTCTGATTCCTGCTCGAGTCTCTCCTGTCCTCCAAGAGCCAGAGATTTCCCATACTAGAGGAAGCAAAGCAGCCCAGAGCAGCACTAGGCCGCTGCCATATTCCCCTGTGGTTGGGTATACGATACACTCGACCCTGCAGACATTAGGCTGAGATTGTTACCCAGAATGGTCCTCAGAACCTCTCTGGTCTTTGGAGTAGCTGTAAGCTGACCACAGCAGAATGTTTTTGGATCAGTAGAGGCGAACATGTTGGAGGCCTTCAGTGTTCAGGAGGAGCCTCGCTGTGGAAACGGGACTCCAGGTCTTCCTCAGCACTGATGGGGAAAAGGAGGCTCCAGCGGACCTCTAGGACGGACCTGTACTGGTTTCCCACTTGGTATCTGTGGGTGACCAGCCATCTGATGCTTTCACTGGTGTCTAATTGTTGGGTTTAAATGAAGGGGGCTGGTGTGTTAACTGGTTAGCTCATATCTGACTGGTCTGTGTTTCAGTCTGTGGGCTCCGCCCCTTGTTTGAGCAGAAGAGCCAAGAGGACAAGAACGAAAAGGAGCTTGTGGAGACCTACAGGGAGCAACGGATCGTTGGGGGAAACGACGCCGAGGTGGCCTCAGCACCATGGTAACCACACCTGCACCCTCTTGGTGAAATGAAGGCACCATCCTGCCCAGGGAGTCACGTCCAGCTGTCATTGCTTGCAGGCAGGTGATGCTGTACAAGCGCAGCCCTCAGGAGCTGCTGTGTGGAGCCAGTCTGATCAGCAACCAGTGGATCCTGACTGCCGCCCACTGCATCCTCTACCCGCCCTGGAACAAGAACTTCACCACCAGAGACATCCTGGTCCGACTGGGGAAGCACAACAGAGCAAAGTGAGCCCACCTGCCTGCTTTCTTCCCGCACCTGCTCCTCTTCATTAGCATCCAAAATAGTTGTAAACATTAAGAACCAGATCTTAATGTTGGACTTTATTCTAGAGGCAACCAGAACTGGGCCAGAATGTAGTTGAACAACTTGTAGAGCTCTGAACAGGCAGAGAACGGTTCCCCCACAACCCTGATGCGTGGAAGGAGTTAACCTCATTTTTCCTCCAGGTTTGAGCGAGGAATCGAGAAGATCGTGTCCATCGATGAAATCATTGTCCATCCCAAGTACAACTGGAAGGAGAACCTGAACCGGGACATCGCACTGCTGCACCTGATGCGACCCATCACCTTCTCCGATGAGATCCATCCCATCTGCCTGCCCAGCAAGGAGGTGGCCAGAGCGTAAGCAGCCCCACCTCCCAGACATGAGGTCTATGGTCTTGGAAGACCTCAGACAGAACTGCTCCAAACATTTTAAGGTTTTTTATCCCTCCCTGCAGATTAATGAGCGCAGGATACAAAGGCAGAGTGACCGGATGGGGGAACCTACAGGAGACCTGGAACCCAGCAGCCAGGAACCTCCCTGCAGTCCTCCAGCAGATCCACCTCCCCATAGTGGACCAGGACACCTGCCGCAAGTCAACGGCCATCAGGATCACCAACAACATGTTCTGTGCAGGTGCGCTTAGAGCAGCAGTTCCCAACCTTTTTTGACTTGTGTTCCCTTTTGAGCATTTTGTCCAATAACTGATAACTTATAATTTGAGCCTGCAAATCCGAGGCCATGGTTCTCCTCTGGAGGTGGACTCCCCTCTTCAAGTCGGTGGAGAGTCCTTGTCTCAAGTAGAGGAGTAGGAGTATCTCTGGGTTTTGATGGAGAGTGAGGGTCGGATGGAACTTGAGATCGATAGACTGATGGTGCGGCGTAAGCAGTGATGCGGTCGCTGTATCGGTCTGTCGTGGTGAAGAGGGAGCCGAGTCGGGGGGCAAAGCTCTTGATTTACAGATAGATCTACATTCTCACCCTAACCTATGGTTATGAGATCTGGGAAAAGAGAGTGACCCAAAGGACAAGATGGTGAATACAAGCGGCTGGGCGCACCCTTCCAGATGGGGTGAGGAGCTCAGTTACTCGGGAGGAGCTTGGGGTAGAGTTGTTGCTCCTCCACGTCGAAATGAGCCAGCTGAAGCTCTGGCATCTGTTTCTTATGCCTCCTGGTCGCCTCCTTCGGGAGGTGTTCCAGGCATGTCCCATTGGGAGGAGGCCTGGTGGAAGGACCAGGAAACGCTGGAGGGACTATGTCTCTGAGCTGGCCTGGTGTGTCAGCTGGAGGAGGTGTGTGGATCAGGAAGTCTGAACATCTCTGCTTAAGCCTGGTTTATACCCAGAAACCAGGTCGTCTGGTGTGTGTCACATTTATCGCAGATATGCCCCTTCCGCAGACACTCTGGTGCATCTCCCCAAAATTGTAGGCGACCGCAGACAGGAGGCCTCTGATTGGTCAAATCCGCTCTACACAATGCGTATTTCCCGTTTGGTACCTAATGGCAGAAACTCTGGCTGTGGTGCCGTTCACAACACCTAGCACCTTGGACACTATTCCAGACAGCGTCTAGGACGCTAGTTTGTAGCTATGTGCGACGGTCTGTTGTTTTGCACCCGAAGCCAAAACAAGCAGCGCCACGCCCAATCTTTGGGGAACACTTACGGGTGAACTGTGTGTCGTCTGCCGTTGGATGAGGGGTTGTAGACTGCGAACAACCTCGTCAAACCGACACACGGACACCCACAATCCTAGCTAGTTCCTGATTGTCCCTCTTGTGTTGTGGCGGGGAAAAACGTAGCACAGACAACGCTTCAAAACTGGGCATAAATCAAAAATATCTGCGTCATACCTGCAACAAGCTAATTGCGACACATCGCTGCGGGAGGATAACAAGTCTTTTAGACTTCTATCAAAGGTGGATCTCAAGGTTCTGTTCTTGGTCTCTTTGATTATCTCCAACTACAAAGTTCGAGTTCTAAAGGGTTCCAGTTCTACAACGCTAACATCCCAGCTTATATCACAACACACCACTGATGTCTTTAGCAACACTCCACAGAGAAGACGGTTCTGGGCCTTAAGGTGGGCATACACTGTACGATTTAAAAAAAAATCTTTGCATGCAGCTACAGCTCATAAACCGCAGGGTTTAAAAGTTTACAGCTCACGATGTTTGCTCTCACGCTGTGCAACCCGATGCTCTGATGCGATCTACCTGCTCACACTGTACGTCTAAAAACCAGGTGGGACTCAGCTCCGCAGTGAGATGGCGCTACTCGGACTCGTCTATCCGGAAGTCAAACGAGTAGAAGAGGAACATGTAGCTCACTAGATTGAAACGCGCTGCCTTGGATATTTGGGCAATTTAGTGCTGAAAGCCCTAAAAAGAAAAGGAGACGACGTATTTGGACAAAGACAGTATTAGGGCCAGGCAAGATATTTTTTTCTTCTATTTCGTGAATAACGTCGTAATATTATGCGAATAAAGTTGTAATTTTATGACAACTCTTACAAGAATCCCTTTCTTCCCTAAAATGAGGAATGTGGAGCATCATGTGAAGTTCTACTTTAGCATCGGTTTGACAAATCAGGAAATCTTTTAGCAGCAGCATCAAACTGGGCAGGATGTCAAAGTGGACTCTGGCTGCTGATTGGTGGAGCTGGTCGGCCGTCATCTGCTGGGCGGAGCTCCAAGCTTTCTTTCTGAAACAGGTTGATGTATGATGACTTTATTCTCGTAATGTTGCGACTTTATTCTCGTAACAGGAGAAATAAAATCTTTGGCCGGACCCTTATACTCCATTGTACAATCGCACCCCCGCCATGCTTCTGTGTTTTCCTCTGAAGAATCCTTTGCACCCACGACCACCTTACGACGGCCGACAGAATTTCAAACATGTTTGATTTGCTCCCGACATTACGATTCCTGATAGGGGGGTGGTCGTTAGAGGCTGATCGCCCCTCGTTACCCCTGTACACTTAACCCCGCACCATCAGGCTGAAAGTCGGCACGATAAAAAAAATTTCGCACAACTGGAGAATCGGCCCAATAAGGGCAAAAGAAAACAGTGTATGCTCGGCTTTTCTGTTTGATTAAATATTTTGTTGGGTCCTCACAAAGCAGAACAGATTCCAGCCCTACTTTATTTTACCCATTTGCAATGCCTCCGCGAACCACTAGGGGTACAAGAACCCCCGGTTGGGAATCGGTGAGTTCTTCTTTACGTCAGACGGATGTTCCTCATGTTCCTGAACTTCATCTGGACATGATGGGACGTCCAAGTCGGACGTCTTCACTCCATCTTAATATAGTTATTCTAAAATGAATCTGCAAAAAAAAAAACTTATTTTTCAAAATATTTTTATTTTCTGGTTCATTTTACAGATCAATGTTGTGATGAAACAATAGGAGTCTTTATTTTATGCCGCCCTGATCCAGAACACGGTCCGGGTGGGTTCTATCTGCTGAGGCAAACAGAACCCACCCCGACCAATGGGTTCTGTTTGGACTGAGAAGAATCTGGCACCAGTACCTAAAAAAGTTGTTCTCTGGTTGGGTTAACAGCAGTTTGTTTGCAGGTTACAGCCCAGAGGAGAGCCAACGGGGGGACGCCTGCGAGGGGGACAGCGGAGGACCGTTTGTGATGAAGGTGAGGAACCCTCCGTGGAGGAGTTGACCTCCTCCTCATTAATTACCTGAATTAAAAAACATGGAAACGTCCTCAGAGGAGCCGCAGTTTTCCACTTTTAGACGGTTCTTCCTGAAGGAACCAGGTTCCTGATAACCCGTCTGTCCCTCTGCAGTACCCACCAGAGAACCGCTGGTACCAGATCGGCATCGTGTCCTGGGGCGAGGGCTGCGACCGGGACGGGAAGTACGGCTTCTACACCCACCTGTTCAGAATGGGCCGCTGGATGAGGAAGGTCATCGAGAGGACGGGGGGAGACGACGACTAGAACTTCACCCACTTCCTGTCAGAAACCAGATGATCTCAATAAAGTTTATCCACATCCAGCTGTGTCCAGTGGTTCATTTCCTGAGAAACGGCAGGAGCTGATGTCTTCAGGTCTCATCCTCAAACTCTTCTGTTTATGGAGCATACAGACGTCTACTTCTGTTTAGTTTGCCTCCTCCGCAGGCTCCGCCTCCTTCTCCTGCCCAGCAGGGCCCTGGTGTGTCAGCAGGTGTCTGTTCAGGTGATTTCTTCTGGTGTAGCTCTTGGAGCAGAAGGTGCACGCGTATGGACGGTCTTTCCTGTGGGTCAGTACGTGCCTGTTCTGCTCAAACTTCCTCCAAAAACCTTTCCCGCATTCAGGACACGAGAACGGCTTCTCTCCTGTAGGAGAAGCACAGCAGCGGTCAGCCAGGATCGGTTTGAATCTAGGAATATGTCTGTGGTTCCTCTGAGCTCTCAATGTACCAACATTCTAATTTAGATTTCTATATTTGGAAAGTTAGCCTTACAGAGTTAGAAAGGCTGAGGGCTCCACGAAATAATAGCTCAGCCCTGATCAGGAGGAATTTCTATGCCTGGACTTATTCATTTTCTAAAACACTGAGATTTGTAAACAGGGAAGCTAACAGGGAGGTTAACAGAGGTGCTAAAAGGGGGGCTAACAGAGGTGCTAACAGGGGGGCTAACAGAGGTGCTAACAGGGGTGGAAACAAGGAGGCTATGGCTGTGTCCGAGTGTCCGCCCTTATCAATTATAGTGATTACGCCATTTTAAATTAGTGTCCCAATGTCTGGTAGAAAGAAAAGTAGTGGACTTGACATTTCCCTGAAACCTTGAAAAGTAGTGATCGTCCATATCCCCGATACATCCCGGAATACGTGGCAAGAGCGAGACAGCAGCAACAAATAACACATTGGGCAGAGGCACCATGCAAGGAGGCAGAGCCACGTGATCAACGGGGAGTGAAAAGAGAGTGATTATTTAAACTTAGCAACAGTCGGTTAGCCGAGTTCAGTATAAAGTCTGCTATATAGTCCCCGCTCTTTATGTGATGGAGGGATCTAGGGCGGACGTTTGGACACAGCCTAAAAGAAAAGCTAACAGCAGTACTAAGAGGGAGGCTAACAGCGGTACTAACATTGAGGCTAATTTGGGTCTTAACAGTTGTACTAACAATGGTACAAATAGGGAGGCTAACAAAAAGTGCTAACAGTCAGGCTAATATGGGTCCTAACAGTGGTACTAACAATGGTACAAACAGGGAGGCTAACAGTGGTATTAACAGGGAGGCTAACAGTGGTATTAACAGGGAGGCTAACACGGTGCTAACATGGAGGCTAACAGCGGTACTAATAGGTAGGCTGAAAAAGGCGCTAACAGGGGGGCTTACAAATGTACTAACGGGGAGGCTAACAGCGGTATTAACAGGGAGGCTAACAGTGGTATTAACAGGGAGGCTAACAGCGGTGCTAACAGCGGTACTAATAGGTAGGCTGAAAAAGGCGCTAACAGGGGGGCTTACAAATGTACTAACATTGAGGCTAACTTGGGTCTTAACAGTTGTACTAACAATGGTACAAACAGGGGGGCTAACAAAAAGTGCTAACAGTCAGGCTAATATGGTTCCTAACAGTGGTACAAACAGGGAGGCTAACAGTGGTACTAACAGGGAGGCTAACAGTGGTATTAACAGGGAGGCTAACAGTGGTATTAACAGGGAGGCTAACAGTGGTATTAACAGGGAGGCTAACAGTGGTATTAACAGGGAGGCTAACAATGGTACAAACAGGGGGGCTAACAAAAAGTGCTAACAGTCAGGCTAATATGGTTCCTAACAGTGGTACAAACAGGGAGGCTAACAGTGGTATTAACAGGGAGGCTAACAGTGGTATTAACAGGGAGGCTAACAGTGGTATTAACAGGGAGGCTAACAGTGGTATTAACAGGGAGGCTAACAGTGGTATTAACAGGGAGGCTAACAGCGGTACAAACAGGGAGGCTAACAGCGGTACAAACAGGGAGGCTAACAGCGGTACAAACAGGGAGGCCAACAGCAGCGGTGCTAACAGGGAGGCCAACAGCAGCGGTGCTAACAGGGAGGCCAACAGCAGCGGTGCTAACAGGGAGGCCAACAGCAGCAGTGCTAACAGGGAGGCCAACAGCAGCGGTGCTAACAGGGAGGCCAACAGCAGCGGTGCTAACAGGGAGGCCAACAGCAGCGGTGCTAACAGGGAGGCTAACAGCAGTGCTAACAGGGAGGCTAACAGAGGAGCTAACAGAGGGGCTAACAGGGAGGCCAACAGAGGGGCTAACAGGGAAGGTAAATGCGGTGCTAAATGTGTGCTAGCATGATGCTAACAAAGAGGCTAACAGGTGCTAATACAGAGGCTAACTGTTCTCATATAGCGGCTAACCACAGGAACCCAGGAAGCCGTGTCTCTGGTCATGTGACCCGGCTCACCTCTGTGCTTATGCAGGTGCTCCTTCAGGTTGCAGGACATGGTGAAGGCCTTCCCACACTCCTGACAGACGAAGCGCTTCTCTCCAGTGTGGAACCTCATGTGCTTCTCCAGGTCTCCTCCCGAGGGCCAGGCTTTGCCGCACACCTTGCACACGTACGGCCGCTCGCCCGTGTGCCGCCTCACGTGCACTTTGAGGTTGGGCAGCACGGAGAAGCTCTTGGGGCAGTGGGGGCAGCGGTAGGGCCGCTCCCCACTGTGGATCCTCAGGTGGAGCTCCAGGCTGCCGCGGCTCCTGAGGCGCTTACCGCACTGCTGACACAGGAAGCAGGGGTCGCTGGTGTGCCTGGCGAGGTGGGACTGCAGGCTGGAGGCGGTGCTCATGGCCTTGTTGCACTGGGGGCACGGGTAGGAAAGCACCTTGTGGGAGCGCATGTGGATCCGCAGCAGAGTCACTCCTGCAGACAGAGGCGGGAACGGGCTGAGCTCCGTTCTCAGCAGCGGCAGCCAATCAGGAGGGAGGTCTTACCTGAGAAGCTCTGGTCACAGGTAGGGCACTTATAAAGAACCTCCACCCCCTGGGATGCGTGCGTCTGCAGGTGCACCAGCAGCCGTCGATGCGAGCTGAAGTTCTGATGGCAGATGGAGCATGTGAGGTCCGGCTTCTGCTGCTGCTCCTCCTGCTGCTCCTGCTGCTGCTCCTGCTGCTCCTGCTGGCTGTTGTCCCTCTCTGAGGACGTCGGCTCAGGCCCGCTGCAGGTCTGGTCCTGCCCGCTCAGGTGAGTCTGCTTGTGATTGGTCAGGCTGGACAGGTGCAGGAAGGCCTTGTCGCACTGGTTGCACTTGAAGACGGGGCGGTGCTGATGGGAGCGCATGTGGGCCAGCAGCTCTGCTCTGCTCTGGAAGACGACGCTGCACTGGAAGCAGCTGTTGATCCTGGAAGGATGGGGCCCCGCCGTGTCGGAACCTTCGGACCCGGGTCTTCGGCCCGACCCGCAGGCTTTGTTGGAGCGCAGGTGGCTGATGACCTGTGGAGCAGCTTCAGGGTCAGAGGCTTCCTGGTTGGACCTGAGGACATGCGGACAGACACTCACCTGAGACCTGTAGATGAAGCACTTCCCACATTCAGGACACCGGTTAGCCACACGCTTAGCATTGTGGGAAATGATGCACGGGGTAATGGCTGTGGGTTTGGAGCCTGCTGATTGGCTGTCAGGGTCTCCGGGGGAATCCTCCATCCTGGCAGGAAGAGACGGCTGATCAGAACCTGCTGCCTGGACCCCGAAGCCTCCAGAACCAACCCACCTGTTCCCGACCTCCGCCGCAGCAGCGAGCCCATTGGACGCCTCCTGCTCCTCCTCTGACACGCTCTGACCAATCACAGCCTCCTCCAGCTGCTGAGGACCGCTGTCTGATTGGCTGGCCGGCTCAGAGTGGGCGGGCTCAGAGAGGAGGGGGTGGGACCACGCTGAAAGGATCGTCTCCTCCACTTCACCGAAAATGGGAAAAAGAAACCAGATCAGAACCGGGTTCAGAACCTTCCTGGGTTCTGATGACCCGCCGGGTCAGATCAGAACCGGGTTCAGAACCTTCCTGGGTTCTGATGACCCGCCCGCTCAGATCAGAACCGGGCTCAGAACCTTCCTGGGTTCTGATGACCCGCCCGCTCAGATCAGAACCGGGCTCAGAACCTTCCTGGGTTCTGGTGACCCGTCGGCTCAGATCAGAACCGGGTTCAGAACCTTCCTGGGTTCTGGTGACCCGTCGGCTCAGATCAGAACCGGGTTCAGAACCTTCCTGGGTTCTGATGACCCGTCGGCTCAGATCAGAACCGGGTTCAGAACCTTCCTGGGTTCTGATGACCCGTTGGCTCAGATCAGAACCGGGTTCAGAACCTTCCTGGGTTCTGGTGACCCGTCGGCTCAGATCAGAACCGGGTTCAGAACCTTCCTGGGTTCTGATGACCCGTCGGCTCAGATCAGAACCGGGTTCAGAACCTTCCTGGGTTCTGATGACCCGTCGGCTCAGATCAGAACCGGGTTCAGAACCTTCCTGGGTTCTGATGACCCGTCGGCTCAGATCAGAACCGGGTTCAGAACCTTCCTGGGTTCTGATGACCCGTCGGCTCAGATCAGAACCGGGTTCAGAACCTTCCTGGGTTCTGATGACCCGTCGGCTCAGATCAGAACCGGGTTCAGAACCTTCCTGGGTTCTGATGACCCGTCGGCTCAGATCAGAACCGGGTTCAGAACCTTCCTGGGTTCTGATGACCCGTCGGCTCAGATCAGAACCGGGTTCAGAACCTTCCTGGGTTCTGATGACCCGTCGGCTCAGATCAGAACCGGGCTCAGAACCTTCCTGGGTTCTGATGACCCGCCCGCTCAGATCAGAACCGGGTTCAGAACCTTCCTGGGTTCTGGTGACCCGTTGGCTCAGATCAGAACCGGGTTCAGAACCTTCCTGGGTTCTGGTGACCCGTCGGCTCAGATCAGAACCGGGTTCAGAACCTTCCTGGGTTCTGATGACCCGTCGGCTCAGATCAGAACCGGGTTCAGAACCTTCCTGGGTTCTGATGACCCGTCGGCTCAGATCAGAACCGGGTTCAGAACCTTCCTGGGTTCTGATGACCTGTCGGCTCAGATCAGAACCGGGTTCAGAACCTTCCTGGGTTCTGATGACCCGTCGGCTCAGATCAGAACCGGGTTCAGAACCTTCCTGGGTTCTGATGACCCGTTGGCTCAGATCAGAACCGGGTTCAGAACCTTCCTGGGTTCTGATGACCCGTCGGCTCAGATCAGAACCGGGTTCAGAACCTTCCTGGGTTCTGATGACCCGTCGGCTCAGATCAGAACCGGGTTCAGAACCTTCCTGGGTTCTGATGACCTGTCGGCTCAGATCAGAACCGGGTTCAGAACCTTCCTGGGTTCTGATGACCCGTCGGCTCAGATCAGAACCGGGTTCAGAACCTTCCTGGGTTCTGGTGACCTACCTGCGGTGGTTCCCCGGCCCAGGCGGCAGCTCTGATTGGACAGAAGCTCTCTCAGGTGTTCCTTCTCCGTCTCCTGCAGAGATTCCTCCAGGATGCCGGGAGCGTCCTGGAGCCAGGAGGCAGCCTGGGGGAAGACGGGACAGCGGGTCAGGGGGGTGAAGATGGGAGCAGGAGGAGGAGCAGGAGGAGCGGGGGAGGGTCCGGGCACCTCTCTGAAGTCGGGGACAGGAAACAGCTGCTCGACCCGGGACAGGAAGTCCGACACCAGGGACTGGAGGGCGGAGTCAAAGCTCTGGTTGAACACCTCCTGTAAGAGAGACAGCCAGAGATGAAGAGGAGCTGGCAGAGGAGGAGGGGAGCAGTGACACCACCCACCTGCAGGAGGCGCTGTGAAGCAGCAGGAGTCTGGGCCAGTCTGTTGGTGAGAGCGAGCAGAGAGGAGCAGCATTCAGTCAGATCTTCATCCTGTGGTGACAGAGACACACACTGAGGAAGAGGCTAACCCACAGCATGACCCTGCCACTACTGCACCAGCTTATGGCAGAGGAACGCTCACCGATGCTGTGGAGATGGAGCGGATCCTCTGCAGGTGGTTCGGATGATTATCAGCATCAGCGAGGATCACCTGAGGAGGAGACAGGTGGTTAAACCATCTGAGGAATATTGCAGAAATGAGCAATCTCCTGTCCAGGGGTGATGCTGAGAAACTAGTCCATGCATTTGTTACTTCAAGGCTGGACTATTGTAATTCTTTACTATCAGGAAGTCCACAAACTGTAGTTAAAAGCCTTCAGCTGATCCAAAATGCTGCAGCCAGAGTTCTGATGAAAATGAAAAAGAGAGATCATATCTCTCCTATCCTGGCTTCTCTTCATTGGCTTCCTGTTAAATCCAGAATAGAATTTAAAATCCTCCTTCTCACATATAAAGCCTTAAATGGCCAAGCTCCATCTTATATCAGAGATCTGATTGTTCCTTATGTTCCTAACAGAGCACTTCGCTCTCAATCTGCAGGTTTACTAGTGGTTCCTAGAATTTCTAAAAGTAGAATGGGAGGCAGATCTTTTAGTTCTCAGGCCCCAGTGGGCCTCAGCAGATGGCCGCTCACACTGAGCCTGGTTCTGCTGGAGGTTTCTTCCTGTTCAAAGGGAGTTTTTCCTCTCCACTGTCGCTACAAGCATGATTAGTGTGAGGGATTGCTGAAGAGTCAATGAGTCGATGCAATCAGCTGGTTTTCCTTAGATAGAAACTTTGAATCAATCTGACTGGATGATCTGGTGAACTGGAAAGTGACCTGAGATGACATGATGTGAATTACAGCTATAGAAATAAACTGAATAGAATTGGCAGCGGTTGGATTAATCTGGTTCATGATAAGGAACCATTGGATGGTTAGTGGCCCTGACAGGCTGTGGTTTCCCCCACCTTGGTCCTCAGGGCCAGCAGCAGGAGACCTCTCTTCCTCTCTGACAGCAGCTCAGGGGCAGCCTCAGTAACCAGGGAAACCAACTCCTCCAACATCCCATAATGCTTCACGCTCTGTTGCTGGACCACCTGCCACATGGCCGCCGTCAGCAGGCGGAGAGGAGGGAGGAGGAGTCGCAGGGAGGAGGCTGAGGAGGAGCAGAAATGCGGATCTAATCGATCGTAGAAAAAATTAATGTTCATATTCAGTTTTTAAGTGACTTTAAGTGGGGAGCTGTGAGTCCAGAGAAAAGAACCGGATCAGGAACTGGTTCAGAGGAACTAACTGATTCAGTAACCAGAGGTGAGAGAACTGAGGGTTACAGCTGAGCGGTAAACAGGCCGAATGAAAGAGGAGCTCCAGCAGACTGAGACCCCGCAGTTCTCCCGCATTCAGAGTCCATCTGATCAATAAAAAAGCAGAATTAGCGGTTCTTCAGCGGGACTTCAGGCTAACGTTAGCCCTGTTGTTAAGCTGAGAGCCGCGCTAGCTTTAAGCTAACCCTGATTGGAGTCCTCCTGCTGAGCTGAAGCAGGCTCCAGTCGTTCGGGAAGCTCTCACCGTTCATCCTGGAGCTCACCGACCCCAAACTCGCTTTATATCCGCCCCGCAGCTCCAGCTAACGGCTAACTGCTTCTTCACAATCCAGCGCAGATGATGACTCCGCCCACTTCATGACGTGGGCAAAGGCGGAAGCTATCCGGGGTGCGCATGCGCCTAGAAAACAGCTCTTCACCTCAGGTTCCTCTGGAAGGCAATAAAAACATTAATAAAAAGGCCTCATTATTGTTCCCATATTACCACTAATTCCTCATACAAATACAGTTAAGGAATGGAGCCATTTATAAAGTTAACCAGTTTAACATTAGCAGCAATATTTATGGTTATTTAGTGACTTTTAAAATAAAAATAAGGTTATTTTATTCCAAGTCATTTTTTTCACTATGTCATTCATGCATTTATAAAAATATTACTTTGTTAATTAATATTTAGTTTGCAAGTTAAATATTTAGTTTTTTTAATAAATATTTAGCTCCAATTAAATATTTAGTTTACAAATTAACTAATCTATGTCCTCCATCTCAGGTCACTTTCCAGTTCAACCAGATCATCCAGTCAGATTGATTCAAAGTTTTATATCTAAGGAAAACCAGCTGATTGCATCGACTCATTGACTCTTCAGCAATCCCTCACACCAAGCATGCTTGTAGCGACAGTGGAGAGGAAAAACTCCCTTTGAACAGGAAGAAACCTCCAGCAGAACCAGGCTCAGTGTGAGCGGCCATCTGCTGAGGCCCACTGGGGTTCAAGGAGACAGAAGCAGACAGAAAAAGAAGCAGAATGTTAGAGATTGAACTAACAGATTCTGCAGAGTGGGAGAATAGAGATAGAATGAAGCAGAATGATGAAAAAGGGGTCCCTATGTCCTCCAGCAGTCTAAGCCTATAGCAGCAGAACTATAGAGATAGCTCAGGATAACCTGAGCCACTCTAACTAGAAGCTTTATCAAAAAGGAACGTTTCAAGCCTACTCTTTTACTGCTTTAAACCAGGACAATTAGTGTCAGGATGGTTTTATGGAGACATAGAAAAACAATTAAATTTGTCAACATATCAGGAGGAAACTAACTGTAAACCTCATTAAAACTGGGAACCAGCAGCGTTTATCAGATCCAGGACATGCTAATGAAGGAGCAGCTGAAGTGAGCGAGGTGTTTTCAGCTCATGTGACACAGATCCTGTAAGCAGGTGTAATCTTCATCCCCTTCTCGTCTCCCAGGGATTCTCTACAGGGATTATTGCAGACCTGAGGTCAGAGCGGCACATTCTGCACAGGTAAACACAAAGAAAGGCAAGAAGAAGAGCTGAGGATGTGTGTTTGGAGGCACCGGGTCGCAGCCTAATGGAGTAGAACCAGTCCACCGTCCCACTGGCTCCTCCATGCCTGCTGCTCAGTGCTAACTTGCTGAACTAATCCCTGCTGCTCCCCGTTAGCTTCTAGTAAATCTGTCTACTGTTAGTGCCGCCGAGGCTCATGGATCCGCCCAGAGAGGAGGAAGTGTTTGCAGACGCCGAAGATCCCTTTCCTCTGAAGGAAGAACAGGAGGACGAGGAGGAAGAAGAGGAGGAAGAAGTAGATGCAAAGATCTTCAACACCTGGATGCAGCAGTTCAGAGGAGGGGACCATCAGAAGAAGCTGGCGCAGGAAGAGAAGGATGAGGACGAGGAGGAGGAGGATGTAGAGTCAGAAGGAGAAAGACCTGAGAGCAGGTGCGGCTTGGAGCCTCCGGTCCAGATGAGGACGGACCGCCGCTCGTCTTTGCCCTGTCCGGTGAGAAACATGTCCACCCAAAAGGTTTCTGCTGACCACCAATCAGGCAGATTTATGTTGAGGGTTTCTAGAGGATCTGTTCAGTTTCCAGTGAGTTCCTCAGGTTCCGATGATGGTTCCAGGATAGCTGCTGATAACGCTGAGGCCTCAGCATGCTGCCAAGGTCAGACGATCCGTTACCTAACATAAAGATGGGATTAGTTATGAAGACTTATGGAAGACTCTGGACTCTAGTCGGTCCTGAAAGTTGAGAGGGATGAACTCATTGTGTCCGCTGGACCGAGCTCCCGTTGGTAGAGTCCAGGCAGGAAACTCTGCGACCGGGTCTGATGATCCAAATACGATGATAACATCTAGAGGTTCCAGATGGATCCATTTCGGGCCGTCCTGATTAGAAGACAGGGACAGCAGAAACCGTTAACCCAGGGTCACCGCAGGACAGCTCCACCTTTTGCTGCTTTAATTCAGTTCCATTTCTCTCCAGGATGGAGTCACAGCCAAACAGGAACAGACCAGATGAAGCTACTATGAGAAAAAGCAGAGAGAGCAGAACGTTAGAGATTGAACTAACAGATTCTGCAGAGTGGGAGAATAGAGATAGAATGAAGCAGAATGAAGAAAAAGGGGTCCCTATGTCCTCCAGCAGTCTAAGCCTATAGCAGCAGAACTATAGAGATAGATCAGGATAACCTGAGCCACTCTAACTAGAAGCTTTATCAAAAAGGAAAGTTTTAAGCCTAGCCTTAAAGTAGGAACGTGGTTCTAGTTCCCCAGCAGCAGAACGCCCAGAATGCAAAGCTTTTACCTCAGGTTCCAAGGATTTCAGATGATCAAAATGGCATCAAGAAACTTTGATAATGAGGATTTTAAGGGTTTTTTCCTCCATTCTGGGTTCCGTCTGGTCACTTTGATTCTCAGTCCAGCAATAAAACTATCGTCTCTAAGAGAAGTTATTCAAAAACAGAACCTGGTGCATGGCTGGGTGGTTCAGGTTAATTAAGTGATCTCCGGTTAATCCATTAGAATAATGGAGCAGAACATCTGGGCGTCCGCTTAGGAGTCAAATGCCTCTGAGATGCTGTTCCTAGTCTAAAGACACAGCATTATTGTTGTTCAGTGATAATCCGTGGAGATTAGAGCAGAAGCTGAATACAAGAAACTTTACCCTTAGAATGGGCAGGATCCAAAGGAACAGAAGTGAATATATTTAGGGATGTTTGGCCTTAAAAGTACAGACGATAAACTCTCCTCCTACTAAGCCAGACTGTAGATCATCCCATAAATTAATCCCAGAGCCCTTTGCAGCACCAGCAAAACAAAGACATATGAACAACAAAGGCATATTTCTGAAGATGTGTAAAAATGTCCAATTAGCTTAATTCTTTTTTTGGATGACATCATTGATGAGCAGGAGATTTTTGCGGTCAGAATGGTTCACTACACTTTATTTAGTCAGATGTTTTAATCCTCCCAGGGTTTATAGCAGGTTCAGAGCAGGGAAACACTGTGTTTGCTGACAGCGTCGCTCCGATCACTCAGAGCTGCTTCACTGCTGTTTTTAGCTCAGCGTTACTCAGCTTAGGGTGTCGCTCTGTAGTTTATCTGGGTGTTAAGGAGAAACTCAGCCTGAAAGCTGCTAATCAGGCCTGAATCCACAGACCAACCAAGGAGGGATGTAAGGACTTGGTTGGTCAGTTGCTTTGTTTGTTGGTTGGTTAGTTAGTTGGTTGGTTAGTTGGGTCCTCAGGTTGATGGTTGGTTGGTTGATTGGTTGTTTGGTTGGTTGATTGATTGGTTGGTTAGTTGGGTCCTCAGGTTGATTGGTTGTTTGGTTGGTTGATTGGTTGTTTGGTTGGTTGACTGATTGGTTGGTTAGTTGGGTCCTCGGGTTGATTGGTTGTTTGGTTGGTTGATTGATCGATCGGTTGGTTAGTTAGGTCCTCGGTTGATTGGTTGTTTGGTTGGTTGATTGATCGGTTGTTTAGTTGGGTCCCCAGGTTGATTGGTTGTTTGGTCGAGAGGTTGGTCACTCCACATGCTGCCTGACTGGGCCGTTGGTTGGTTTACAGTTTATTTGGTTGAATACTTGATCAGATATTCGGTATAACTGAATGATCTAATTGGCTGATCTGGTTAATTCCATGGTCTTAATTCCCAATAACTATATTGACTGACTGATCGATCATCTCTGTGTCCAGGCCACTCTCTCGTCCATGCAGCTGTCTCGCCTTCACTCTTCTACTTGTGCTCCAGTGACAGCGAGGGTTTTGCTGCGACGTTCCTCCTCGCGGCGTCTCCTTCCCGCCCCACAGGAATCTGCCGCCCCCCCACCAGAGCGAAGGCCCTCACTCATACCCACCATCCCTGAAGCCGTGCCCCCGGAGAGGCGGGCTCAGTTCAGGCGACGTAACGTCATGTCATTGGTGGGTGGAGGGTAGACTGATGCTTTCAAGTCCCAGCTTCTTTTCAGTGGATCTGTTTGACTTTAAATGTTGTTCGTGTTGCAGAGTGACGCCTACAGCATGTGTTTGATCTGTCATAATGACTTAAGTCAAGGTTCAGGAGGAACTAGAGAGCTGCAGTGTACTCACACCTTCCACAAAGAGGTAAAACACACCAACACACTCACAGAGAGCACCCTCCCACACACCACAATGATGACTTAAATAAGCAGACTTGTTTAATCAACAGACATTTTCTATGGAGCCTCAATAGATTTGGTTTGAACATTGATACTGTGGTTGAACCATAGGTCTGAAAATTGTTTTTCCTCCTGCAGTGCATAGAGGAGTGGCTGTGGAGGAAACAGTGCTGTCCAACCTGTCACGTTCAGGTCGCCATGCCTCAGCCCCTCTACTGGAACTCCACCAGGGTCAAGGTCCCCTAAGACAGAAACAAGTTTTCAAACGCCTCGTCTGAGGTCATTACTACCTCAGACATTGTTCTGAAAAGATGGCAGAGATATCCGCTGGACATGTTCTGAAACAAGGACTCTGTAGTAAAACTCGCCTGGTTTACAAACTGCCTGAGGTGAAGGTTCCTCGACCACTGCAAGACTGTGAGAGTGATCCAGGTATGGATTACTGTAACTCTTTATTTGTAATTCTAAAGAAAATTGAAAATCAATCCACTGGACTTTGTTTCCAAGTTTGAAGACGTTTCTCTTCCATCCAGGAAGATTTTTCAGTTCAAAATGTCAGAAATAGCGTTTAGTTCCAGGTTTTACCCAGCAGCCCAACAAAGCCTGGTTTTAGTTTAGAAAACATGCAAATAGAAACGGATGAACGGGTCCCCCCTTTTGGAATGGGGGTCGTTTGGCTTCTTTGTTAGCCTGCAGTCTGTGTCTTCGGCAGGCGTAGAGCTAACAGAACTGGCAGCGTTGCGAGGCAAGGGCTCAAACATGTACGGCTGGAAGCCTTCTACACCAAACCAAGCTTCTGCCGCCCTGGCGTCCTCTTCCACAACATCTTCGTCCCCGCTTTCCTCCTCTAAATAAAAAATGGATGACGGAGGAGACTCATCCACGACCTCCGACACTAAACTCTCCTCCTCTTGCATGTTTCCGCTGTCCATAGCGTTCCGTGACAGCGTCGTTTCTAAGTCACCAATTTAGTGCTACTTGGTCCCAATGGAATTTCCCATTGGGAACCTGCTAGCACTAAGTTGCTAACTGGTTAGCAAGATGCTACCGACAAACCGGCCACAACCAAACTTGCTTGGGAACCTTCTACCACAACAATCCCGCCCCCTTGATAATTGACCAATCACATTCACTTTATTCACTCGTGTAAAGTCGGGCACCACTCGCATGCAACGGTTGGCAAAGCCGCTTTCCTACGACTTTAAGGTTGGTTTTTCTTTCTTAACATAGATGGCTTCCTTCATGCCCCTCTCAAACAACCTGTCTTCTTCGTCCAAACTGAGAACTTTCTGGTCCTCCAAAAATTGTCCTTTGTCCAAGAGGTATAGATGTACTGCAGAGTCTTGTCCAGAGGAGGTCGTTCTTCTTTGTTAAGCCATGCGTCTGTGGAGAGGTTGTTTATATTCTCCAACTCAACACTATTTCTGACATTTTGAATGGAAAAAGCTTCCTGGATGGGAAGCTGTCAGAAATAGGACAGATGAACCCAGAATTCAAGGTGCGACAGTCAGTATTCCTACTGAGTGCACAAGATTTATTAAAACAAACAAACTGAAACAGAACAGAACAAAAGCAGCAGACGCAGGGGGCGGGGCAAAACCCATCACTGACACTCTGGAGGGAGAAACACAGGTAAGTGACCAGGATCATCTGACAGAAGGTGATAATTCATGTGAGTCACTTACCTGGTTTAACAGTTCAGTCACTTAGAGCGAGGTAGGATCTAGCCGATGGACCGCCATTTAGATACGTCGCTGAGCCGGCCACAGTGTTCCCGATGCAGCAGCCTCCGTGGAACCTGCGTAAATCTGTGCCAGGATAGGAGAACAGTCCAGAACAAGGACAGTTCTGACATCCAGGAGTCCTCAGCTCGATCAGGGGTTCCGATCCACACAAGAACAGATGGAAGCAGGGTTCCAGGAATCCACGGGGCGTGAAGGCAGGTTAAGAGTTCCACCAATCCAGAAGCGTGCCCAGGCAGACACGTACAGATGCAGACAGGCAGCCTCAGGGGTAGAGGGACAGAGACAAGACATGGTACCAAGATTTCTGCAGGACTTTAAGCTGGTCTCCTCCTAGGAGCCAGGCTTATGGGAATAAAACCGACCTTCCTGGCATTCCGAGCCAAAACCCTGAGGGCCTCGGAGAAGGACCAGGACACAATCAGAAGACAAGACTTGGAACTAACTAAAACTAACGAAACATAAAGCATGAGATAAACAATCATCTGGCCTGATAGCTGAGAAAAATATAAAGGAACAGACACAGGTGGATAAGATGAGTGATAATGAGGAGCCGGGCAGAATAAAGCAGTTGAATGACATGAACAATTATGTCCAGCTATCAGGGCTGATCATGACAGAAGAGAAATATCTTCAAACTTGGAAACAAAGTCCAGTGGATTTTTTGTTTTTTACTTTTTTGGAACGACGATAACCTGGATGACCGAGAATCTTTGCCAGTATCTTTGTTTGTTAGGATGGATCAGTCTTTAATGCAAGGCCTGCAGATTCTCTCAAGTTCAGCCACTTGCCTTCATGCAAGAGCTAAACAAATAACCCAGCCGGCCTTTCATACAGTCTGTCTCAGAAATGATTCTTTCTTTCAGTGCAGTAGGTAAACAGTCATTCCATGACTCACCAGCCTCCCATTGTTCTGAACCAGTTTCATGTCCAGGATGAAAACCATAGATAACATACCACTGGACTTTATTTTCCAAGTTTGAAGTTGTTTCTCTTCCTATCCAGGAAGCTTTTTCAATCCTATGTTGAATCCTATGGTCTCCTATGTTGACAGAGCTTTCGTGTGCATAGCACCAAGACTAAGGAATTTACTTCTGGACTTTATATAAAAGCTTCATATTTTAAACTATGCTGTGACTCTAATTTGAAAACATCTGTGATTATTTTATTATCATTATTATTATTATTGTTATTAAACCTATTCCTCTATGTAATCTGTGATATGTGAGCTTTATGATGAACATTTTTTAGATAAAATTATGTATTATATGATGTAAGTTTTTGAAGCATCAAAAATATGTTTGTATGGAAGAGGATTAGGGCCACTGGGGAAAAAAACAACCAACCTTACTGATTTTTTAATTTTATTTCAGTATAATATGAGAAAAAAAGTCAGAATTCTGACTTTAATCTGAGAATTGTGGATCTTAATGTAGATGGTCTCCATGAAGGCAGAGATGTGGAGCACTCAGCTTCAGTAGTTTGAGAGAAACAGGAACACATTGGTGGAAAATGATGGAATTAGGAGAGTTTTCCGTCCCTGAGGGTCCCTGCTGATGCTGTTTGATTAATGGAAGAGCAGAAAGTGATTAAAACCAGAGAGCTAGTCTCTAAAACAGACATGGCTATGGCTGGATGCTAACATGTTTGTTAGCTGGCAGAATTCAGTCAGAATCCTGAGATTAAAGTCAGAATTCTGACTTTTTTCTCATATTATACTGAAATAAAATTTAAAAATCTGTTACCGTTTTTTTTTTCATGGGACATAATACCCTAAAATTATGCAGTGTTTTATACAAACGTCAACAATAAAACTATATGGCTCATGAGGCAGGCATAGCCAAGGTCCAATATCAAAATAACGGATATATTTTAGTAAATCAAACTTTGGAGAAAGGGGAAAAATATCAGTTTGCATGAGTTTGATAAAAAAAGGTCTTAATTTGAATAGGTCTACCGTTACAAGGCTTTGTTGGGCTACTCTATAAAAGCCTGGAACTCAACACTAATCCAGACATTTTGAAGAGAAAAATCTTCCCTGGATGGGAAGAGAAACGTCCTCAAACTTTCTAAAATAAAGACCTGTGGATTGTCTTTTAACTTTGACCTGGATGACTGAGAATCTCCGCCACACAAAGGGAACAGCAGCATTTTAAACACCTTTTCATTAAACCGCTCCCACAGATGTTCTTTGATTATTTGGTTAATTTCTAATCTTCCCTGCAGATTTTTTACACTTTTCTTTAATTAGCTCCTTATATTAAGCCTGATTTGTTTGTAGTTTGAAAGAATTTAATGTAACTGAGCTTGTTTGAAAATGTCCTCAAACACCCAGTCATTAATGAAGAACAGATTCTATTAAATAAAACTGTGGCTGTTGTTAAAAATTGTCGCTGTATTAGAACCACATGGACTTTATCGCATTTTTTACAGCTTTATGGACGTTATCTGTAAACGTCATGCCAGTGTTGTAAAATGTTCTTTAATAAAACAGCATCTATTGTGGGTTTATTTTAAATCTTTGTCTGGTTTAAGTCCAAGGAGGAGTTCTTCTTCTTCTTCTTCTTTAAAGATTTTGACAGATTGATGTATTTCCGCCATCTACTGGTGTGGAGTGTGGACCAGAATGACTCAGAATTAAATTCTATTTTTTTAGATATTGAAGTATTATCCTGTAAAAGTTACTTTCTGAATAACTTCTAAATAATTCAAATAAATCTCATTTAACTTTGACTTTACTGAAATGTTTAATTCATTGCTGTCCTCGTATTTATTTACAGTACAACGTCACATGTTCAATTGTTTCATTCAGCCCACAGTTTTCACATTTACCATTCCTGTTTCCCAAAGATAAACTGTTTAAACCATTATGCCCGAATCTAAATCTAGAAATAATTGTTTCTTTTCTTCTAGTTCTCCCTGTTCTATGGGAGAACTAGAAGAAAAGTTCAGCAATCAAAAATTAGCAGCAATATTTATGGTTATTCAGCGTATTTTAAGAGAAAAATAAGGAGGTTATTTTATTCAAAGTCATTTTTTCACTGCGTCATTCATTCATTTATAAAAATCTTACTTTGTTAAATAAATATTTTGTTTAGGGCTAAATATTTTTAGATTTTCTTACCGCATTATGACGTAACAGGCAGATCCTATCGGCTCATTTCTTTCCTTTTTATGTCACTAAAGAAACAACATCAACCAATAGCGGTTATAAACTGCATGGCTGCGCTGCCTGAATCCTAGAGCTCTCCGGCCCCATTAGCCACCTCCACTATAATCCAGGTGCTGCAGTCACCTGTCAATGATGAAGGGGCGGAGCCAGGAAACAGCTTCAATTATGCACAGCAGCAAAAATACAAATAAACAAATTCATTATTTCAAAATTAAGTCAACTCATACTCCAAACCAAAATATTTCATGTTCATATCTATCATAGCAAATCAGACAAAAAAAGTAAACTAGAAATAATAAATATTCTATTATAAATCAAGCATTTGGCTCCAACTATAAATAAATCTCCTAATGTTTGACTGATTAACATTAATAAGGGCGCCCCCTACTGTTCTTCTTATTTCTCCAGTTTTCTTTTAAATTTCATAAAATCAACATTCTCTCCTTCCTTTAACCATTTCTCCTTCATCTTCTGTCTAATTACCATTTTAAGAGTTACACGTTGTTGATCGTTTTGAACAGTTCGTGGGGAAACAGCGCCTCCCTCTGATACATGATGGCCGGCAGCGGTACTGCAGGCGGAAGTGCTGCACCTGTTGATGCAAAAGTCTGTTCCTCCTCCGATAAACTTTGACAGCTCACCTGTTCCAGGTGGAACCATCGAACCGAGGATTGCTTAGAAGGTTCTGGAAGCTCTGCGGTGGTTCGACTGATTGTCCGGGAAGGAGTCTGGGTTTATGGATAAACTGAAGCAGGTTCTGAGCGGCCAGGAGGGAGGCAGCAGCTCGGATGGGAGCGGCATTCTGGAGGTGCTGTTAGCTGTTAGCCGTTAGCTGTTAGCAGTTAGCTGGGAGGAAACCAGTTAAAAACAATGGAGGAAAAAAATGGCCCCTGGAGTTAGCTGCACTGCTTTTATTCTTTGACTAGGATTTTATTAAGATTTAACCTTCTTAAACTGATTTAGAGATATAATGAAAATAAAATTAATTAATAAATAAAATTCATTAAAATTTTTTTATATTTTTAAATTCTGCTTGAGATTTCTAAAACAAAGTATTAGGGCTGGGCTAGAGATTTTTTAAAATTTTTATTTAGAGAATAAAGTCGTAATATTATGAAAATTAAGTCGTAACATTACGGGAATAAAGTCGTAACATTACGAGAATAAAGTAGTAATGTTATAAAAATAAAGTCCAAACATTAGCAGAATAAAGTGGTAATATTACGAGAATAAAGTCATAACATTATTAGAATAAAGTTGTAACATTACAGGAATAAAGTTTTGATATTACAGAAAAAAAGTCATAACTTTATGAGAAGGAAGTCGGATTATTATGAGAATAAAGTCGTAATATTAAGAGTGCAAGTCGTAATATGACAATAAAGTCGACTTTATTCTCGTAACGTTACGAAAATAAAGTAATATTTGGAGAATAAAGTCTTAATATTACAAGAATAAAGTCGTAATATTGGGAGAATAAAGCCGTAACATTGCAAGAAGAAAGTCTTAATATTACAAGAATAAAGTCGTAATATTGGGAGAATAAAGTCGTAACATTGCGAGAATAAAGTCGTAACATTGCGAGAATAAAGTCATAATATTATGAGAATAAAGTCATAATACTGGGAAAATAAAGTCTTAATATTACGAGAATGAAGTTGTAACATTGGGAGAATAAATTAGTAACATTGCCAGAATAAAGTCGTAATATTGGGAGAATAAAGTCATCAAACATCAACCGGTTTCAGAAAGAAAGCTTGGAGCTCCGCCCAGCAGATGACGTCAGACCAGCTCCACCAATCAGCAACCAGAGTCCACTTTGACATCCTGCCCAGTTTGATGCCGCTGCTAAAAGATTTCCTGATTGGTCAAACCGATGCTAAAGTAGAACTTCACATGATGCTCCACATTCCTCATTTTAGGGAAGAAAGGGCTTCTAGGAAGAGATGTCAGAAAATACAACTTTATTATCGTAATTTTAAGACTTTATTTTGTGAAATAAAAAAAAAACTCTCTAGCCTGGCCCTAATACTCCGTTGTAAGATTCATGGTATATAAATTAATATATTATTATTTCTTGATGTTGGTTATTAATATTATCTCCCAGCAGATAATTCGGCATGTTTGTAAATGAATAAATGTGAATAGATTTTTAAAGGAGTAAAACATTTAAAGTTTGATGCCATCAAACAGCTGCTGTTGATCTAATAAGGAATTTCTATGAGCTTTGGCTGCTATTTAAAGAAGGTGGAAACTATTTAATGCCACTATTTCATATATTTTTCACCATTTTTTTTCCTGAAAGTGGTCGTTCACAAATTTATATGTTTCAACTAATGAACATGTTAAGCAAATCCTAAAACTGATGCAATGGGTCGTGATCAAAGTGAATGTGAACATTGTGACGCCGATGTTTTTAATGAGTGACATCATGCCTGCAGACAGCCAATCAGGCGTCCTCGCTGGCCTGGGGGACCAGGATGAAGGGCTTCCTGATCTGCTTCGTTCTGGGGATCCTGTGCTCCATCCTGGTGAGTTACCGACCCGTTTCAGCAGAACCAGGGCTGGGCGATATTAACGACATCTAATATCACCTTATATTGGGAATATAATCCCCAGACACCATCTATATCACCTTATATTGGGGCTATAATCCCCAGACACCATCTATATCACCTTATATTGGGGCTATAATCCCCAGACACCATCTATATCACCTTATATTGGGGCTATAATCCCCAGACACCATCTATATCACCTTATATTGGGGCTATAATCCCCAGACACCATCTATATCACCTTATATTGGGGCTATAATCCCCAGACACCATCTATATCACCTTATATTGGGGCTATAATCCCCAGACGCCATCTATATCACCTTATATTGGGACTATAATCCCCAGACACCATCTATATCACCTTATATTGGGACTATAATCCCCAGACACCATCTATATCACCTTATATTGGGACTATAATCCCCAGACACCATCTATATCACCTTATATTGGGACTATAATCCCCAGACACCATCTATATCACCTTATATTGAGGCTATAATCCCCAGACACCATCTATATCACCTTATATTGGGGCTATAATCCCCAGACACCATCTATATCACCTTATATTGGGGCTATAATTCCCAGACACCATCTATATCACCTTATATTGGGACTATAATCCCCAGACACCATCTATATCACCTTATATTGGGGCTATAATCCCCAGACACCATCTATATCACCTTATATTGGGGCTATGATCCCCAGACGCCATCTATATCACCTTATATTGGGGCTATAATCCCCAGACACCATCTATATCACCTTATATTGGGACTATAATCCCCAGACGCCATCTATATCACCTTATATTGGGGTTATAATCCCCAGACGCCATCTATTTCACCTTATATTGGGACTATACTCCCCAGACCCCATCTATATCACCTTTTATTGGAGCTATAATCCGCAGACACAATCTATATCACCTTATATTGGGACTATAATCCCCAGACCCCATCTATATCACCTTATATTGGGGCTATAATCCCCAGACACCATCTATATCACCTTATATTGGGACTATAATCCCCAGACACCATCTATATCACCTTATATTGGAGCTATAATCCCCAGACACCATCTATATCACCTTATATTGGAGCTATAATCCGCAGACACCATCTACAGGTGCTGGTCATAAAATTAGAATATCATGAAAAAGTAGATTGATTTCAGTAATTCCATTTAAAAAGTGAAACTTGTATATTATATTCATACATTACATACAAACTCATATATTTCAGATGTTCATTTTGTTTAATTTTGATGATTACAAATGACAACAAATGAAAATCTCAAATTCATCATATCAGAAAATTAGAATATTACTGAAGACCAATAAAAACAAAGGATTTATAGAAATGTTGGCCAACTGAAAAGTATGAACATGAAAAGTATGAGCATGTACAGCACTCAGTATTTAGTTGGGCCTCCTTTGGCCTGTATTACTGCAGCAATGCGGCGTGGCATGGAGTCGATCAGTCTGTGGCACTGCTCAGGTGTTATGATAGCCCAGGTTGCTCTAATAGTGGCTTTTAGCTCTTCTGAATTGTTGGGTCTGGTGTATTGCATCTTCTTCTTCACAATACCCCATAGATTTTCTATGGGGTTAAGGTCAGGAGAGTTTGCTGGCCAATTAAGAACAGGGATACCATGGTCCTTCAACCAGGTACTGGTAGCTTTGGCACTGTGTGCAGGTGCCAAGTCCTGTTGGAAAATGAAATCTGCATCTCCAAAAAGTTGGTCAGCTGCAGGAAGCATGAAGTGCTCTAAAACTTCCTGGTATGTGGCTGCGTTGACCCTGGACCTCAGAAAACACAATGGACCAACACCAGCAGATGACATGGCACCCCAAACCATCACTGACTGTGGAAACTTTACACTGGACTTCAAGCAACGTGGATGAAGTGCCTCTCTTCTTTTCCTCCAGACTCTGGGACCTTGATTTCCAAAGGAAATGCAAAATTTACTTTCATCAGAGAACATGACTTTGGACCACTCACCAGCAGTCCAGTCCTGTTTCTCTTTAGCCCAGGCAAGACGCTTCTGACGCTGTCTGTGGTTCAAGAGTGGCTTGACACAAGGAATGCGACAGCAGAAACCCATGTCTTTCATACGTCTGTGTGTGGTGGTTCTTGAAGCACTCACTCCAGCTGCAGTCCACTCTTTGTGAATCTCCCCCACATTTTTGAATGGGTTTTGTTTCACAATCCTCTCCAGGGTGCGGTTATCTCTCTTGCTTGTACACTTTTTTCGACCACATCTTTTCCTTCCCTTCGCCTCTCTATTAATGTGCTTGGACACTGAGCTCTGTGAACAGCCAGCCTCTTTAGCGATGACCTTTTGTGTCTTGCCCTCCTTGTGCAAGGTGTCGATGGTCGTCTTTTGGACAACTGTCAAGTCAGCAGTCTTCCCCATGATTGTGTAGCCTATAGAACTAGACTGAAAGACCATTTAAAGGCTTTTGCAGGTGGTTTGAGTTAATTAGCTGATTAGAGTGTGGCACCAGGGGCCATCAATTTTGAACCTTTTCACAATATTCTAATTTTCTGATAAGATGAATTTGAGATTTTCATTTGTTGTCATTTGTAATCATCAAAATTAAACAAAATAAACATCTGAAATATATGAGTTTGTATGTAATGTATGAATATAATATACAAGTTTCACTTTTTAAATGGAATTACTGAAATCAATCTACTTTTTCATGATATTCTAATTTTATGACCAGCACCTGTATATCACCTTATATTGGGGCTATAATCCCCAGACACCCTCTATATCACCTTATATGGGGACTATAATCCCCAGACACCATCTATATCACCTTATATTGGGGTTATAATCCCCAGACACCATCTATATCACCTTATATTGGGGTTATAATCCCCAGACACCATCTATATCACCTTATATTGGGGCTATAATCCCCAGACACCATCTATATCACCTTATATTGGGACTACAATCCCCAGACACCATCTATATCACCTTATATTGGGGTTATAATCCCTAGATACCATCTATATCACCTTATATTGGGGCTATAATCCCCAGACACCATCTATATCACCTTATATTGGGGTTATAATCCCCAGACACCATCTATATCACCTTATATTGGGGTTATAATCCCCAGACACCATCTATATCACCTTATATTGGGGCTATAATCCCCAGACACCATCTATATCACCTTATATTGGGACTACAATCCCCAGACACCATCTATATCCCCTTATATTGGGGTTATAATCCCTAGATACCATCTATATCACCTTATATTGGGGCTATAATCCCTGGACACAATATATATCACCTTATATTGGGGCTATAATCCCCAGACACCATCTATATCACCTTATATTGGGGTTATAATCCCCAGACACCATCTATATCACCTTATATTGGGGCTATAATCCCCAGACACCATCTATATCACCTTATATTGGGGTTATAATCCCCAGACACCATCTATATCACCTTATATTGAGGTTATAATCCCCGGACACCATCTATATCACCTTATATTGGGGCTATAATCCCCAGACACCATCTATATCACCTTATATTGGGGCTATAATCCCCAGACACCATCTATATCACCTTATATTGGGGTTATAATCCCCAGACACCATCTATATCACCTTATATTGGGGCTATAATCCCCAGACACCATCTATATCACCTTATATTGGGGCTATAATCCCCAGATACCATCTATATCACCTTATATTGGGGTTATAATCCCCAGACACCATCTATATCACCTTATATTGGGGTTATAATCCCCAGACGCCATCTATATCACCTTATATTGGGGCTATAATCCCCAGACACCATCTATATCACCTTATATTGGGGTTATAATCCCCAGACACCATCTATATCACCTTATATTGGGGTTATAATCCCTAGATACCATCTATATCACCTTATATTGGGGCTATAATCCCCAGACACCATCTATATCACCTTATATTAGGGTTATAATCCCCAGACACCATCTATATCACCTTACATTGGGGCTATAATCCCCAGACACCATCTATATCACCTTACATTGGGGCTATAATCCCCGGACACCATCTATATCACCTTATATTGGGGTTATAATGCTCCGAGGCGTTTAGCTTCTTAGGCGGCGGCTCTGATGGTGGTTCTCCTGCAGGGAACCTGCCTGCTGTGGATCCCGGGTTTCGGGCTGCCGGTCTTCGCCGTGCTCTACACAATCGGGAACCTCTGCGCTCTGGCCAGGTACCTGCCAGAACCGGTGCGGTCGGACCTCTCTGTTCGTCGCTGACGTCTGCTAAGGTTCTGCTGTCGTTTCAGCACCATGTTCCTGGTGGGTCCGTTACGGCAGCTGAAGAACATGTGCGCCAAAGTGCGAGCGCTCGCCACCGCCATCATGCTGGTCAGAACCCGTCCTCGGTTCTCCTGTTCATGGTTCCAGGTTCGCTTTTAAACCTTCTGATGTTTCTGCAGATCTGCCTGGTTCTGACTCTCTGCGCGGCGTTCTGGGTGAGAAACTGAGTTCGTGCTAACATGGCGGCTGCGTTTCCGGTGGGTAGAACTTCTGTGCTTCTGTTCCTGCAGTGGAAGAACAATGGATTGGCCCTGCTGTTCTGCGTTCTGCAGTTCCTGGCCTTCACCTGGTAAAACCTGTTCATTATCACACACCTGCCGGCCGGCTCAGCCTCGCCGCTCTGACCTCTGACCTCTGACCTCTGCCCTGCAGGTACGGCCTCTCCTACGTCCCCTTCGCCAGGTAAGAACTGAACCTCAGAACGTCAGGCGGAAGGTCGGACGGGCCGTCATCTCGTCTCCTCTGTCCTCTTCCAGGGACGCCGTCCTCAAGCTCTTCTCGCTCTGCATGTAGAGTCAGCAGCTGCCCGACCAATCAGGACGCAGGATGCTGCGTCCAATCAGGAAGGTCCAATCGTCACATGACTGCTTTCATTTATTCAGCGGAGGAATCATCCGTTTTTCACATTTAAGCTCGGAATAATCCGACTTTAATCCTGATTTTAATGCATTCATGTAAATGAAACACTGATTTTAATTTATTTCATCATGGCGGCCGTTTATCATGGTGGCTCTCCATCATGGCAGCTGTTCATAATGGCGACTGTTCATCATGGCAGCTCTCCATCATGGCAGCTGTTCATCATGGCGGCCGTTCATCATGGCGGCTCTCCATCATGGCGGCTGTTCATCATGGCGGCTGTTCATCTTGGCGGCTTTTCATCATGGCGGCTGTTCATCATGTCGGCTTTCCATCATGGCGATTCTTCATCGTGGCGGCTTTCCATCATGGCGGCTCTCCATCATGGCGGCTCTCCATCATGGCGGCTCTTCATCATGGCGGCTCTTCATCATGGCGGCTCTCCATCATGGCGGCTCTCCATCATGGCGGCTCTTCCTGGAGTTCTGAGGACTAAAAAAATGAAGGAACTCAAACTAACAGCCGCTGATCAACAGATTCATTCTGAAATAACATTTTAGTTCCTCTCAGCAGGTGGAGAATCCACTGGTTCTGGTTCTGGTTCTGGTTCTGGTTCTGGTTCCCAGCATGTAAACCCAGAGGAATGTTAGCTTAGCGTTTTCTGCTCCGCGGCTGCAGTTCAGAGATAATAATCCACGTTGAGTCACTGCTGCATCTTGATCTCCGTCAAAGGAGGATCTTTAGGCTCATCTGGACCCAAACGGGTCGGATCCAGCAGAACTCTGAACATCTAGACTTTATTTATGGAACGAGCCGGAAACATGAAGCAACAGAAATAAAAATGGAGGATGATAGAAAGTCAGATTTCAGCTCCAGATCTTCTCCATTTAGATCCATTTGGTTCGGTTCTGCTGTGGTTTTGTAGCAGCAGGTCTCAGGTAAACAGTGTTTAACCCGGTTCTGAGCTCTGTTAGAACTTATTCTAAGCTGGTTCCATGTGGTTCTGACCCAGTTCCTAGTTCCGCCTGTGTGTATTTCTCATGCTTAGAACCCAGAGTTAGCGAATGTTAGCTGCTTCTTATCGGATCCGTAGTCTGAAGGGATGTTCTGCTGGTTTTAGTTCAGATCAGTGATCCGTTTAGAACCAGGTCCGGAACCAGCTTCACTCCGGTTCCGATCATTTCATGGAGAATTATGAAAATTTTTAACATTTCCTTCATTTAAAAATGACTGAAAATGTAGAAGAAGGTATGACCTCTGACCCCTTCCCTGTTGCTAAATTTGACCTCTGACCCCTTCCATGTTCCTGAGGTATGACCTCTGACCCCTTCCCTGTTGCTAAATTTGACCTCTGACCCCTTCCCTGTTCCTGAGGTATGACCTCTGACCCCTTCCCTGTTGCTGAGGTATGACCTTTGACCCCTTCCCTCTTCCTGAGGTTTGACCTTTGACCCCTTCCCTGTTCCTGAGGTTTAAACTCTGATCCCTTCCCAGCAGTTCTGACTTCCTGGGCTCCCTGGAGGTTCTGACCCGTGGATCCTCCTGCTGTCCTTTAGCTAACCCTCACCCTGCCTTCATTTATTCATGGATCAGCTAGAAGTCCTGCTTCCCATCATGGGTCCAGAACCAGGACTAGAACCAGAACCAGGACTAGAACCAGGACCAGTGGCTCTGGTCTGAATGATGGATGCAGAGAAACCTGGAAGGTAGAACCTTATATTAACCTTTAGGTCCAGAGCGATGGTCTGTGTAGGTTCTGGGTAGGAGCTGGTTCCCAGAACTCTTCCTCACAGGTTCTAGAAGGTTCTCCATGTTACAGTTGCTGATGTTCTGGGCTGTGAACTCAGAACCGGCTCTGATGTTTTTTTAAGCTTTGTTATTGGACTTTGTGGTCCGGATCATTTCTATAGAACCATGTTACTGCAGCGGTTCCCTGCTTGTTTGTGCTTCCTGTTAATAAATGTTTGTGTTCCTGAGCCCAGCTGTGTCAGACGGTTCTGTTTTCTGACTCTGGAACCGGACCCCATCCGGCCCCGCCCGCCTGCTTCCAGCCGTCTTTATGGCCGTTAAGTCCGTAAAGCCGCTAATCTCCGGCGCCGCCTGGGCCGCTGATTACAGCGTGCTCTGACCGGCCTCCTGCGGCCGTCTGCAGATCAGATGTCCTTCCTGAGCGTCTCCAGATGTTCTCCTCTGGGCTTTGACCTATTCTCCATTACATGCTGCTCTAAACAGCTTAGGCTGCGTGACATTTAAACCTGCAGCAGCAGGAGGAGGTCCAGGGGCGCCGGCCGCTTTCGGGAGATTAAAAGGTCAGAACATCTCCACGCCGTCTCCTCCAGAGCCCCTTCTGACAGGGTCAGAGGTCAGAGGAGAAGCTCTGAATCCACAGAGCAACGCCAGAACCATTGAAGGCCTTTTTTGGTCCCTGAGGTTGGCAGACACCTGGAACGCCTGGAAGATCAAAGGGATGCTGGTCAGATGTTCTCATGCTTCTGCTGCGGGGGATGTTCTACCTGGGACTCCCTCTGGGCGGTGGGCGGAGCCTAAGCAGCCATGTTGGTGGGAAGCTGACACAGGTTGGGGTCAGTTCTCCAGGAGAGGAGCTGAAAATGTTCCTCAGAGATCATCTTCAAGTCGGGCTTAATTCACAATTCCTGACTGACTGATGTCTGTTACTATGGCGACCGACCCAGTGGGTTAACCTGGTCCAGTTCACCCAGTCTGACTGACTGATGTCTGTTACTATGGCGACCGACCCAGTGGGTTAACCTGGTCCAGTTCACCCAGTCTGACTGACTGATGTCTGTTACTATGGCGACCGACCCAGTGGGTTAACCTGGTCCAGTTCACCCAGTCTGACTGACTGATGTCTGTTACTATGGCGACCGACCCAGTGGGTTAACCTGGTCCAGTTCACCCAGTCTGACTGACTGATGTCTGTTACTATGGCGACCGACCCAGTGGGTTAACCTGGTCCAGTTCACCCAGTCTGACTGACTGATGTCTGTTACTATGGCGACCGACCCAGTGGGTTAACCTGGTCCAGTTCACCCAGTCTGACTGACTGATGTCTGTTACTATGGCGACCGACCCAGTGGGTTAACCTGGTCCAGTTCACCCAGTCTGACTGACTGATGTCTGTTACTATGGCGACCGACCCAGTGGGTTAACCTGGTCCAGTTCACCCAGTCTGACTGACTGATGTCTGTTACTATGGCGACCGACCCAGTGGGTTAACCTGGTCCAGTTCACCCAGTCTGACTGACTGATGTCTGTTACTATGGCGACCGACCCAGTGGGTTAACCTGGTCCAGTTCACCCAGTCTGACTGACTGATGTCTGTTACTATGGCGACCGACCCAGTGGGTTAACCTGGTCCAGTTCACCCAGTCTGACTGACTGATGTCTGTTACTATGGCGACCGACCCAGTGGGTTAACCTGGTCCAGTTCAC